TGTCCGTGCACATGCACATCGAATCCACTTTGGATCAAGGTTTGTGAAAGAGTCTCTGAAGGCATTTTACAAGTATGAAGCCATGAGCTGCTCCCGTGTTCCATCCATATTGGTTGAAGCTATAACCACTGTCCTTAGCATGCTCCTAGCAGTCCTGTCCTGGGGAGGGGGACCCAGCTGATCTCTTGACTCTAAAGATTCATAGGAAAGCCGTGTAGCTCCACTCCTGAGCCTTATGTGATCCAACTGCCTCTTTTATTGGAAGGGAGCTTTTTCTCAATTATATTGGCAGTAAATCTAGCTTTAAAAAGCAGAATTCCTGAATTCCAGATACCTGACAACTATTTGTTTTTAGTGAGGTGTTAAAAGTTTAAATTGGAAGAGGCTTATTGATGTATTGTTTATTATAAGGTGGATGAATTGCAAGTATATGAATGAATAACAAGGGAAAAACATTTTTAAAAGAAGTTTCTGGGCGCCTGGGTGGCTCAGTTGGTTAAGCGACTGCCTTCGGCTCAGGTCATGATCCTGGAGTCCCGGGATCGAGTCCCATGTCGGGCTCCTTGCTCAGCAGGGGGTCTGCTTCTCCCTCTGACACTCCCCCCTCTCATGTGCTCTCTCTCTCTCAAATAAATAAATAAAATATTAAAAAAAAAAAAAAAGAAGTTTCTGAGGAATCCTTTCTTTGGCCATAATTCTTCGCTTCTGAAATCAATCAATAGATTTCACTGTACTCCACAGAAAGAAGGGGGGGGGGCGGTGATGACAAATCACATGACATCAGACTCAGAGTGGAGTTGGACCAGAAAATACCTTACAGACAGGACTCTAAAAATCACATACTGTCAGCCCATAGATCAAACCAAGTCAGATGTTGTCTTAAAAAATAAATTTCCACTGGGTTCCAAAATATAAAAGTTCACAGAATTCACATAAAAACTTGAACTTCCTTTTTTCTCCCATTTTAAACTCTCACTGCATTGGCAGCATAGCATGGTGGTTGCCCTCATTAAATAGAGCATCAGTGCTCGCCGAGTCCTTCCATCCACCGAGCTCCCTCTTAATTGATGCCCAGCCCATGTCATTCCATTCCCTTACCTCTCTGTCCTCTCAGTCATCCAGCTTTATAGATCCTGATTTACACCAGCTCTTTCATTTTGTATTCAAGTAACATGTGACTCCTAAGAAAATATGTAATTTGCCCCAATCATGTAACTGGCACTTTCCAGGGTATAAAACAAAAATAAACTTGGGTTTGCCTTGCAATAAATAGAAAGAATTGAAATTTTGTGATCTAATGCTCATTATCATGGAGGTTCATTTATTTCTAGCCAGGAGAAAATTGCATTTTTATAGTATGTTTTGATTCTGGTAGAAACAAGTGTGTTGGAACAATTAGGACAAAGGTTAACAAGGAGATATTTTGTCTAGAAAGTAAATCCGTTTTAAACATTTACTAACAAATAGAATTTTAAATGCTTTTAGTGGTATGCATAGGATTTAAATTCCTTTTATAATGATGCCTGTTACTTTTTCCAGTATTGATCATTTCCATCCTAATTGTACAAAAATATACATTAAATGTTGTTTTTAAAGTTTGAAATGAATAGTGGCATTTTTTTGGTGTTAAAGCTGAAGGTACATTAGCTGCAGACTTTCTATTTCTATACTTTATAAGGATTAAGAAACAAATTATAGAAAGTATAAAATTTAGTTCTTATCTCATGAGTAGTAACAAGATAAACAAGTCAACAATTTAAGCAATGTTTACTTTCACAAGAAGAAATTCAGTTTATGAAAGTGATTCCAAAATCTGGCTAACATATATTTTCTTATATCAAAATGAACTTGTATGATATATTGATCTGTCTTAAGTTAATTTGTTGCTCTTAACATCCAAGCCATGTGTATCACTCATCTCTTGCACAAGACAATATTTTTACAAACTTAATGACTTAGAACAACACATATATCATCTTGAAGGTTCTATAGGTCAGAAATCAGTTACCTGCATTCTGTGTTTCATTGTTTCAGATAGGTGTGAATCAAGGTGTTGGCCAGGGTCAGTGTCTCATCTGAGGCTTGATTGGAGAAGGGTCTGCTTCCAAGCTTGTGTGGTAGTTGGTAGAATCAGTTATGAGTGGGATGTTGGGCTGAGAACCTCAGTTGCTTGCTGCCTGGTGGTTAGACATCATATCACCTTTAGTTTCTTGCCATAGGGACAATTCCATATGTCCCCTTCTTTCAATCCAGCAAGGGAGAGAGTTAGAGTCTCCTAGCAAGAGGGAACTTGCAGAATACAGTCTTACGTAATGTAATGACTGGGGTGACATCCCATTTTCTTTGTCGTATTCTGTTCATTAGAAGCAAGCTGGAGTCTGGCTGTCTTGCGAGAGGAGAGCAATACGCAAGGGTTGGAATGTCAGGAGGAGGTCCATTTCAGAGACTATCCTGTTTCCATCTCTCTGATTTTCATCCATTCCAGGTTTTCTTTTTCACAACCACCATAGTCAATCACTAAGCAATGCGACAAACAGCACATGGTCTTAATGTCTACTTTATAATCTAAAATACCGTACAAAAGTGTATCTATTCATCATCAAAGCTGTCCATCAAAACCAACCTTAGTGTCACTCTTGTGAATGTCTTCCTTTTTATGGTAGACTGTTATCTTTTCTGCTCAAGGTTACCTAAAGCATCTGTATTCCACTGTGACAGTGTGTAAATAAATTGCTTAGAGAATATAATTGTTATCTCAGATATGTTACTTTAGAAGTGTCTATCTAGGCAAATGTATCCTTTTCTAATCTAAACATGTTCTTGTTAATTATTGGGGACATTTTTGGTTGGAAATGGTAGAAATCCTAGATAAAGGAGAAATAAAGGACAAATTGTTTCAGTAACTGAAATGATGAGCTTACCTAGCTTCAAGTATAGCAGCATTTAGAATATTAGGCAAAGTATAGGGGACCTATTTTCAACCTTTCTTATTTCATTTGTGTTGGTACCATGATCAACAAGAACCTGATCAACCTTCTCATAGGGTAACATAAAACAACATTAAGATTTTTTTCTAGTACTTAAAATAAAATTTCTGGGCAAGACTTTTTTACATGAGACATGAACACTGAGCAAAGAAGATAAAGCATCCCCAGTGGCCAGAGATGGGTAATGTGTCTATCTACACACCTTGGGGGTGTAGACTCTGGCAGCCTTACCCAAACTGCTTAGATGGGGTATAGAGGAGGTGTGGTTATCTGCTGTAACAAAAGAAGGCAGAAAAGATGCAGGAGAACAAAATAACATGTGTACATACATACGTACTTTATCCTTTTCACTAAAAGTTATATGGATTAGTTCTTATTCTTTAGCAAAAAAAATAGTTGTTGAATATGCAATGAATATATGGACCACCATTAAGTGCTAGAGCATCTGTAAAACATCGCTTTACATTTCAGTAACTTAACCAAGCGTATGGACTATGGTGGCAAAGAACACAGCAATTTGGACATGTTTATAAAGAGCTGTATGTAATTAATTTTCTGGACTGTATGTTTGTAGTTCAGGATTTGTTATTTTATAACAAATTGTTCGGTGAAGGCACAATACAATTGCACAATGTAATCCAAATTAGAAGAACTGGGAGGATGCAGATAAAAATGAGGAGGAATTGGGGCGCCTGGGTGGCTCAGTCAAGCATCTGCCTTCAGCTCAGGTCATGATCCCAGGGTCCTGGGATAGAGCCCTGCATCGGGCTCCCTGCTCAGCGGGGAGCCTGCTTCTCCCTCTCCCACTCCCCCTGCTTGTGTTCCCTCTCTCGCTGTGTCTCTCTCTGTCAAATAAATAAATAAAATCTTTTTTAAAAAAAGTAAATGAAATCTTAAAAAAAAATGAGGAGGAACATTAGGAGAGTAAGTATTAAAAGAAAAAGCCAGTGGAGGAAATGATGGTAGGGTTTGTCTTATCAGCTTGAGGAAAGAGGTGGAAGCTTAGAGAAGTGGGATGCTCTAGACAGATTGACTGGACTATTCACTGATTTTTTTAAATCTATTGGATCTGGGTAATATAACACCTGTATATTATAAAAGTGAGATTATTTCCATTAATTTAGGATTAAAGTTATGATAGCCTAGTTGCAGTGACCAATACTGTAAAATAAATGGAGATTTTGAGAAGGAGATGTGTTTTTGAAAATATAACTTGGAAATTAAGTAAATATCATAGTACTGAGGGCAGAACATGGCTACAGGTAAGCAAAATCAGTGAGTTCAAGAGCAATGTGAGTGTTGTGATGCCCTCTGTTCAAATCCTTTTTTTGTACAGTTAGAGCATCCCAGGAGCACAAGAGTAAGGACTAGAAAGAGTCATCTGGAAGCTGTTGCTTAAATATGCTAACAGCAGTGACACGAAATCAACATTTTACTTTACAAATTACGATAGCAAATTGTACCCCCTTCTATTGCTTTCAGTTCAGAAGGTAATTTAGAGAAACAAGTGGAAAGAATTTTTGTATGATGTTGGGCAGATAATAAAATAGTATCCAAAAATAAATTATACCTCAAATTCAAAATAATGCAGGTGATAAGACCTTTACAACCAAGAGCATTTGCATAATTGTGAACACAGTTTGTTAGGGCTGGAGTCTTGATGTGGTACTACTTTGAAAATTTCAGAAAATGGGGCGCCTGGGTGGCTCAGTCGGTTAAGCGACTGCCTTCAGCTCAGGTCGTGATCCTGGAGTCCCGGGATCGAGTCCCACATCGGGCTCCCTGCTCAGCAGGGAGTCTGCTTCTCCCTCTGACCCTCCTCCCTTTCATGCTCTCTGTCTCTCATTCTCTCTGTCTCAAATAAATAAATAAAATCTTTAAAAAAAAAATTTCAGAAAATGTATTATTCAAATAAATGCACTCACACATGAACTAGCATATTCTATTATTAAATTCAAAACTCTGTCATGACAAATGGACTACAAAAAATGAACCCTCTCTCTAAACCTGCAGACCTCCTCCAGTGAGTGAACTTGCCACCAGAGGGACTATGGTTGGAGTGATTTCGGCAGCGGCCATCAACCAGAGTATTGTGTACTCCATAGTTTCAGGAAACGAAGAAGGTGAGTAGATATTCAGTCTGTGTCTTCACCATAAACTAACACTTGGACCTGGGACTCAGTTCAGATTGAATTATTATTTATGCTATTTTTTTCTAATAAAAACCTATCTAACTTAAATGCAATTTAAGTGTTCAATCAGATTAAAAAATTTGGTTATACTAACAAACATGACCCTCCCCCCCCCACCGGAAATACTAACTATCCAATTCTGGAAGCTTTCCTCTTGCCCTCATTTAGGGATATTTTAATGATATCTCTTCAAAATTAACGCATCATACTTTCAGGTTTTGGTCATGATTGTTGCCTACAGGGGTCTCTTCCCACTGTTCTGGACCATCCATGACCTACTCCATGTCATAGCTAGGCTAACACTGAAGAAATTTTAGGATCGCAAATAATTTTGAATGCCCAAAGAGCCACATCCATGATAAAACCCATGTACATTGTGTAATATGATTCCTCAAGTGGTTAACTTAGAAGTAAATAAATAATTTGAGTTTTGTCTACCAACTACTCTTCACTGAGAACAGGATGGTTTGCCAGCTTCTGAAAAGAAGTTCATAGCTGCATTTCTCATCTGTTCTTTTTCTCACCATTATCCACAGTTAGTGGTCCTCTATTTCTTCCTTTTGATAAATTGGATGGCCTGGCATGTCGTAAGTGGTCAAGAGATAGTCAATATACATTTAGGGTGCCTGGGTGGCTCAGTCGGTTGAGTGTCTGCCCTCAGCTCAGATCATGATCTCAGGCTCCTGGGATCAAGTCCCTCAGCAGGCTCCCTGCTCGGCAGGGAGCCTGCTTCTCCCTCTCTGTCCCTCCCTCCCCCACACTCATGCTCTCTCTATGTCTCTCTCTCAAAAACAAATAAATAAAATCTTTTAAAAAAAGAAATAGTCAATATACACTTAATAAATACATGAATGTTCAATATTTAATATTTAGTAAGTGGATGAATATAAAATTAAGCAATTCTCAAGGAAATTATAAAGGCTCTTTTTTTTAAAAAGATTTCATTTATTTATTTTATAGAGAGAGACACAGTGAGAGAGGGAACACAAGCAGGGGGAGTGGGGGAGGGAGAAGCAGGCTTCCTGCGGAGCAGAGAGCCCAATGCGGGGCTCATTCCCAGGACCCTGGGATCATGACCTGAGCTGAAGGCAGATGCTTAACTGACTGAGCCACCCAGGTGCCCCTGTGAAGGCTCTTTTTAAGTATTTCAGTGATCAACCATTACTAGAAATGGCTGCCCTTGTAGCAAGGGCAGGACATCTTACTTTTCTTACTTTCTTCTTTGTTCCTACTTTGCTGCTATGCCTTCTCCCTAAATATCAGGAACATCTAATGCCCTTTAGTATTTAAAGGACCATCCGAATCTACCATGATGGATGTAGTGTGCAGTGCTTCCCAAATTTAATTGACTGATGAAACATTGTTTTCCAGGAGACTCTCAACATAACTAGAAAATTAAGGTGTTCACTTAAGAATACACTGATGATAATTTGAAGAGATGGAACACAGCTTCCAAAAGCCAGCATCCTGTCATCTTCATGTATTACTCCTGTTTACAAGGAGTATTTTTTAAAATCACAGTGCCTTTTAAAGAGGATTCTTTTTTTTTTTTTTCTTACGGTGTGAAGGAAATGACCAAAGAACTGTATTTTAATTGCAGATATGTTTGGAATTAACAACATCACAGGTGTTATCTATGTGAATGCCCCCCTGGATTATGAGACCAGGACAAGCTACGTACTTCGCGTCCAGGCCGATTCCCTGGAAGTGGTCCTCGCCAATCTCCGAGTCCCTTCGAAAAGTAAGTTATATTACTTAAGCATTCTGGAAGGATTTTATGGTGCTTCTGCTCATTTTCTGATGAAATACATAGGTCCAAAAGTTATCATTAGAGAATGTGGGGAGATCAGTAGTACTTGGAGCTGATTGCCCATCCATTTTAACAGCTGATAGAGGACAGTGCTGGGAGTGATTTCATACTCCTGAAATATCAAGGCAATAACACACCATCTTCAAACTGGGTATACGATATTGCTAGAATCAACTTTATTCTTAATCCCACTGTGAAGCTCTGGCAAACTCTCTGGTGTGTATATTGTTAATGGGTACAGGACTGCCCGACATTCTCTTGAATTGTGTGGTCTCTTGTACTTAACTGATTTTCTTAGCACAGAGGAAAATGCATCTTAAAAGAGCAACTAACATTTATTGTAAGTTATATGTGGCATTATATTTAATTCACATCCATTTCTAGGAGATGGAAATTATTATTCCCATTTTACAAAGACAAGATAAGGTTAAGTGACTTTTTAAAAATGATGCTGTTGGTAAATGAAAACCCAGAGATTTAAGCTCACAGCTTTTGACTCCAGAATCGTTCTCCAACATCTGTGTGATATAGTTTACCAACATAAGAGAGCAAGTAAAGCCAATTTGTGAAGGGCACGAGCAGAGATTCTGGGAGATGTTACTAATAACAAGATAAATGCTGTTCTTTTCCGTCCATTGAGGTAATATTCCTTTGCACTTCAGGCAGTTCATCTTTTTATAATCACGCCAACTTTTTTAGAATTTAGAAGACCCGAGAAAACCAAATTAAATTTAACCATTAGGGAACGGAGGCTCAGAGCATGAAGGGGGAAACAGGCTCTGAAACAGGCTCCTTTCACTCCAGGGCCCTTCCTGGACATCCTATGCCAACACTACGTCAATCAGCATCTTTAGAAGGGGAGGAGGGAAAATGAAGAGCCTGTGAGAACCCCAGCGAGGGTACAGGTATAAAGCGAGAGCCACAGAGCCTAGGTGATGGAAGAAGGGAGAGCAAGGTAGATAGAAAAGGCAAGAGACGTGCCCTAGAATTTTCTCTACCAGTGTGCAGTAATTGATTATCCTAAAAGTAATCACTTCTTTTTTATTTCTTTCAAGTCTCACTTACTGATCTAGTGTGGAGGGTTGCACAGTTGCTCAGAAAGGTACAACCAAGTCATTTGAAAAAAAGCAGATTACACATGGTATATTTTTTGGAATTAAGGAAATTAAGTTGTCTTCGGTGATTATTCATCACTTGCGTAATTAAATTGTTTTAAAAATATCAGGACGGTTTCTTGAGTTCTTAAAATCTTTAACCATGGGCAATTATATTTTTATAAAATATAGAGGAAGCTTCAAATTGTCAATTGAATTGACTAAATCAGGAATCAAAAGGTTAGAGTAGTTCTAAATTATGTAATGCAAACCAGCTTATTGCAACTAGGGAAAACATGGAAACTATTTGAAAACTATATTTGTCATTTTTCTTTGAAAAAAATGAACAGTTAGATTTAGAAAGAAAAATCTGCTAAGTATTTAGGTCTTAGAACTTGGCATTTTTCAGGAAATAGCTCCAATTTCTAGGAATAAAGGCATATCGATATCTCATATGTGAATATGATACAACTAGTTCCTGGTACTTTAATGTAAATCTAATCTAAGGCTAATAAAAGTTTCACTAATATACCTATGTATACTTACATGTGCCCAAGAATGCATGGAGAGCTACGACCAGCTAGCAGGTGTGTGCAGTAGCCTCTCAGAAGCACATGAAATCTAAAAGCTAAATGCTAGTTTGTTTAATGCTTGATGCTTTTAATATTGTTATTATCATTTCATGACTGACCTCTGCCTCTGGAGTCTGAAATACAAACTCATGTATTTAAACCACAGTTTCATATATTAATGACTGTTAATGGCCTATAATGAATCCCTAGTTCATTAGCTCTGCAAAAATAAAGCCATTATGTAAATTAGGTTAATTAATTAATTGTTTAAAGGTTTATCCCTGCTTTAGAATTCACTGCCGCATGGTCTTCAGCTCTGCCATATGTCACATGAATAAAGCTAATAAACAAAAGAGGTTTGATTCATTGAAGAAATATTTTATTGCAATTTCTTTGCCAACAATTTGTTAATGAAATCATTTTCAAAGTAAGTTTTATAACTATGCTGTAACTGGATTTAATATTTAAATGCAATTTAATAATTAAAATAGAACAATTTCAGAACTCATTTCATAACTTTGACACTAGGAATCTTTAAAACATTCTGATCTTTTAGTATGGACATTTCAAATGTACATAAAATTCCAGAGAATATTATAATGAACCTTCAAGTGTCAACTACCCAGCTTTACCAATGGTGTTCTCAACCATTCCCTCATTATTTTGAAGTACATCAGAGACACAATATTTCATCTGCAAATATCTCAATATGTATCTCTTAAAGATAAGGACTCAAAACTTAATCACAACACCATTATTACTCCACCCAAATTAATAAAAATTCCTTAATATCAATGAATATCCAGTCAATATTATATTAAAAAGAATCCTAATAAGGTCCATATATTGCACTTTGTTGAAAAGTATTTCAAGTGTCCCTTTTAAAATATAGACTTCCCTCCCACCATACCTTTTAATTTCCTTTAATGTCTATTTGTTCAAGAAATGAGATTTCTGAAGCCCGGGTTTCAATGAGCATGCTTCTAAGTGGTCATTTCATATTTTTCTTTATCTCCTTTATTTCCTGTAAAATGATAGAGCTAGAGGCTTGGTTAGATTTAGTTTGTTTTTTTAAATGAATAAATTGTAGGTGATATCCACTGCTTCCCCAGAGAGGCACGCCCATCCCTCTGACTTTCCTTTCCTGAGGGCCGTCACCACCGGGGGTCATGTCCTACCTATTGATTCCATCCTTCCATTTCTTCTGTTTGTAGTAGCCAAACCTTTCCACAAAGAGAAACTCTTCCACATCAAATATTTGACTACCCTGACGTCCTCCTTCTATAGGAAAGACAGGAAAAAATGTTTGATTCTTCCCTTTTATTTCCTGGTTTTCAAAATAATGCGTTGATTCACTATCATACTCCAAATGCGACCACTGAAATAACACAAAATTTGGGTTTTGTGGGTCGTATGGTCTTTGTTGAACTACTCAGTCCTGTGGTAGCTGAAAAGAAGGGAGATACAGTCTGTAAACAAAATGGTGGGCAGTTCTCCAACGCTAAGCAAATGGGTGTGGCTCCACTCCAACTCGGTTCTTTTGACCGCACCATCTGCAGGCCAGACTTCGACTGTTCTCTTACTTTTACTTTACATAATCCACTTGGCGCCTCCCGGGCTGTTTGTGTATCTCCTACTGTGAGCAATGCTTCTGCTTCATCTACTTCCTTTTCCCACATATCGCATTTGAAGAAATATTGTTTTATTCCTGTTAATATCAATAAGATAATCAGTAATCTAGTTGTCTACAGTTTGTCCTGTGGTAGACTCCTCACAGTAGGCTTACAAGAATAGCATTACCTATATTTTTGTGCATTAATGACAGTTTATCTGTGGACCTGAAAACTGAACATAAATTTGGCTAGATATGAAAGACCTCGGGGGGCGCCTGGGTGGCTCAGTCGTTAAGCATCTGCCTTCGGTTCAGGTCATGATTCCAGGGTCCTGGGATCGAGCCCTGCGTCAGGCTCCCTGCTCTGTGGGAAGCCTGCTTCTCCCTCTCCCACTCCCCCTGCTTGTGTTCCCTCTCTCGCTATCTCTCTTTCTCTGTCAAATAAATAAATAAAAATCTTTAAAAAAAAAAAGAAAGAAAGAAAGACTTTGGGCGCCTGGGTGGCTCGGTCAGTTAAGTGTCCAACTCTTGGTTGTTCAGGCTGTGATCTCTGGGTCCTGGGATATTGCCCAGGGTCAGGCTACACTCCGTGCGGCGTCTGCTTCTCCCTCTCCCTCTGCCCCTTACCCC